TTTTTTTTTTTTTTTTTTTTTTTTTGGAGTCAGGGTTTCTTTGTGTGGCCCTGGCTTTCCTGGCACTTGCTCTGTAGACTAGGCTGGCCTCAAACTCACTAAGATTCGCCTGTCTCTGCCTCCTGAGTGCTGGGATTAAAGGCGTACGCCATTGCTGCCTGACCACTTACAATATTTTTAATCTCATATTATTAAGATTTTTGTCTTTTTTTAGATTTGACTTTGAAAGATAGAATAGAGACCCGAGGTGTCAAAATAATCGTTGGTTTTCAATGGATTATAAATGTTTGAATAACGAATACTTATGGTTTGCATATTCAATTGTAGGAACTGAAGAATTTGATCCCTAAGTCTGCAGTGGGCACACTGTCTGGAAACTCCAGTAACGTGATCCAGCTGATCATCGATGCCTACAATGTGAGTGCACCTCCATTGCTCAGCTTCATGCCATGCCCGCGGTAAAGCACCCACCGTACACACGTCAGCAAGCTGGAGGGACAGGGCGGAGCGTCAGGCTTATGAGAGCATAATTTAAGCCAAGCAGTAATTCTCAGATAAAGGCACATGGGCAATTACAAGCCCTTGTTTATGTGTCGTCAGGCCATATATCTCCCGGTTGGAGCAAGAGTGAAGCACAGCTGACATTCGATGCACACAGCTCTTCTTTCTCTTCCCAAGGTTACCTTTGTAGAGTCACTTGTTACTGTTTTCTTAGATAGGGTCTTTCTATGCAGCCCTGGCTGTCTGGGATCTCACTATGTAGACCAAACTGGCTTTGAACTCACAGAGATGCACCTGCCTCTGCCTCCCAAGTGCTGGGATGAAAGGTGTGCACCACCATGCCTGGCTAGATTCTCCATTTTTGATGAATGATACCTGACAAGGATCTTTTACTTCTTCAGAAGACAGACTCCGAGGACATGTTTCTCTTTTTTCAGTAGTAGTCAGACTCTTGGATGTATGTACATACTTAGGCAATAAGCATGCCATTTGGGAACTGAAACTAGCGGAATTCTCTCCATTCAGGAGCGTAAGTCAGAATGCTTGTGACGGTTCCCAGTAAGTGCCAGCCAGTGATCATTTAAAATGACCCGTGGGCACCTGCAGTTTCATGGTGACTGTTATATACTGTATAGACCATTTCCTAGATCTCTAGTCTTTGGTAGGTTAAGTTTAGATTAAAAATAGTTTTTACCTTCAGAGTATGTGTGTAGGTTACAGGACAACTTGTGCGGTTCTCTCCTTCAACCATGTGGATTTGGCATCAAACTTAGGTTGAGAGCTTGGAGGCACGCTCCTTTTACACTCTGATCCATCTTACCAGCCCTAGTGTTTTTTGAGACCGTATCATGTGGGCCAGGTCACTTTGACTTCTCAGTATAGCCCAGGATCTGAACTTGTGATTTCCTGTCTCCACCTTCCAGGTGTGCTCCATCATGCCTGGCTTTTGTGCCTGGAGTCCCAAGACATTTTGGAAAAAGTTTTGGCTCAGAGGGGTTTGGCAAAGACAACAGATTCTAATCGTTTCACATTCTCCCCTTCCAGCCTTTGTCTGTCCTGACAGACTGTTTTCCTCACTGGTCACTGTCCTGAGATGTCCCTGTAGTTTATCCTTGTCAGTGCTGAGAACCAAGCCCAGAACCTCGTGGCTGCTGGGCAGTGCTGGTCATCGAGCTAAATTCCAGTTCTTCAGACTCTAGGGAGTGTTTAGGAGGTGACCAGATGCCAGTGGTCCCCAGTAAACTTGTGTGCCCTATTGTTCTGATCTCTGGTTAGCTGGAAGGGGTAGACCAGAGGGGGCCTGTGGATACTGTGTGACACCACCCTAACCCTAACCATAACCCTAACTGAGCAGCAAGCATCAGTTCTGTGTTCTTAGGATTCCTCATACGCAGGCTGTTTGCTGTGAGGTCATTAGCATTTCAGCTGAATAATAATAAAAAGAAACACTTTTACATTGTATTCATTGTTTTGAAGGTTAGACCCTTCTTAGAGTTGCTTACTTTAGATTCTAGCACCCCGTGAATTAATTGTATTGAAACGATAGTGTTTTCATAACATCTCATTTCATCCATTTTGTGTGTGTGTTCAAGTCATATTTTATTTTACTTCCCTGTTGATGGTTAATCTTTCTCTTAGTCCCTTTCTTCAGAAGTCATTCTGGAAAACAGCAAATTGCCGGAAGGAGTAACAATAAATTACAAATCCTACTGCAAGAACGGGGTGAACGGGACAGGAGAAAATGGGCGAAAGTGTTCTAATATTTCCATTGGAGATGAGGTATGTTCTATGAGTGTTTTCTGTGAAAAAGAAAAGCATGTGTAAAGAAGTTTAATTTCGGGGCTAGAGGGATGGTCAGTGGTTAGTTAGTAAGAGCGTTGGTTGCTGTTGCAGAAGCCCTGGCTGGGTTTGATTTCCAGTGCCCATATGGTCAGTTCCAGGATACCTGATGCCCTCTTCTGACCTCCGTGGGCATTGCATGCACTTGGTGCAGAGACATGCATGCAGACAAAACACCATACACATAAAATAAATAAATCTTAAAAGGTTAAAATTAATTTAATGAGAAACATTAAATGAGTAGCTTTTGAAATATTTTTATATTTATTAAGCTTGTTAATCTATTTTTTTTCTTTTAAGGTTCAATTTGAAATAAGCATAACTGCAAATAAATGTCCAAATAAGGAGTCTGAAACCATTAAAATTAAGCCTCTGGGCTTCACTGAAGAAGTAGAGGTTGTTCTTCAGTTCATCTGTAAGTGCAATTGCCAAAGCCATGGCATTCCAGCGAGTCCCAAGTGCCATGAGGGGAACGGGACGTTTGAGTGTGGAGCCTGCAGGTGAGTGCAGCGTGGCTGCGGCAGGGCAGGCGCATTCTAGGCGGCTTTGCTGGGGACGCCCGTAGAGAATAAAATCATAAGCCGTCTGCTCCGTAACTTGCTCACATACTCTAAGCTCTCTCTGCTCTGCTCATACTCCACGGTGAAGCTTGAGCTAGGTAAGCAGGGTGTCCAGTCTCAGGGCAGCCTTGCAAAGACTCGGCTCTCCTGACAGCTCTAGCACTCCAGCTCGCTGCAGCAAAGGTATCTGGGGAAAGTAGATGGAGACTTGTAGAAACAGTCAAACTGAGAGTGATGATTTTCCTTTAAATTTTGTTTTACTTTGAGAAAGGGTCTTGCTTTGTAGCCTGAGATGACCCCAGGTTTATGACCCTGCTGCCTCAGTACTTGGGATATAGGTAGAAGCCACTGCTCCCAGTGTTAACTGACAGTTTTATTTATGAATTAGTTAGCAAGAGAAAGCAGTGCTTTCCTTGTACTGGATTAATTTTATTTGGCTGGGATAAAAAGAAAATAGTACTTAAAGTTTATATTTATTTATTATGTGTGTGTGTACGCATATGTGTACACATGACAGGCTTGTGGAGGTGAGGACAATTTTGGGAGTTCGTTCTTCATCTACCATGTGAAATCCCAGGCCCTGAGTTCAGGCTGTCAGGTTTGGTAGCAAGCACCTTTACCCCGTGAGCCATCTAAAAATTAAACTGTCTTTTCTTTAAAAGTTCTAATAGAACTTTTAAATCTCAATGTCAGTCTCACTGTGGTTTTGACTTTTGGCCCAAAAGAAAAATAAACAGCTATGTTTACCATCAATTTTTAGTTTGTGAGGGTTTTTTTTGGGGGGGGGGCTGCCTTTCAATACAGGGTTTCTCTGTGTAACCCTGGCTGTCCTGGAACTTGCTCTATAGATCAGGCTGGCCTCGAACTCACAGAGATCTGCTTGCCTCTGCCCCGCACCCTGCCCGAATGCTGGGATTAAAGGTGTGCATAACCACATCCCAGCTACCATCAAATTTTAATTACCATTTTAAATAATTTAAATATTATATTTTTTCTGTGTTGTATTATTTCTTGTTTGAATCATTAATGTATCTTTTTAGGCCAGGCGTGGTGATGTACACCTTTAAGCACTCAGGAGGCAGAGACAGGTAGATCTCTGTGTTTGAGGCCAGCCTGGTCTACAGCATGAGTTCTAGGACAGACAGGGCCACAGAGAGAAACCCTCTCTTCAAAAACGAAAACAGGAAACAAAAAATACCATTTTTAGTAAAATGGCATTGACTCAAAAAATTTTTTCTAAAAAAATTCTTTGCCATTTTGAGGCAGAGGCAAGAAGATCTCTGAGTTCAAAGCTAACCTGGTCTACAGAGAATCTTACTTTCTTGAAAAATGAATTTGTTTTACTTTCCCAGATATTTTGTTTGTTTGTTTTGAGGCTGGATTTCTCTCTGTAGCTTTGGAACCTGTCCTGGAATTCACTCTGTAGGACAGGCTGGCCTCAAACTCACGGGAATCCACCTGCCACTGCCTCCTGAGTGCTGGGATTTATTTGTTTGTTTGTTTTGTTGCTAGAATGTTTTCATTTTGGTTCCTTGCTGAAGATGAATTTCCCGAGGCCCCTTCTTGTTCCATAAGAACTTGTGTTGCTGCTGCGTATGTGCATATGTGTGCATGTGTAAACACATGCACTTCTCTCATCTGAGAGTGCAGGGTGGGCATCCCTAGCTGGTAGTTTGCTGGTGTGAGGAGATTGCTTTGTACACCTTTTGTTTATGGACTGTTGGGGTCTTTGACAGGTGCAATGAGGGGCGTGTGGGGAGGCATTGTGAGTGCAGCACAGATGAAGTGAACAGCGAAGACATGGACGCTTACTGCAGGAAGGAGAACAGCTCAGAGATCTGCAGTAACAATGGGGAGTGTGTCTGCGGACAGTGCGTGTGTAGGAAGAGAGATAATACCAACGAGATTTACTCTGGCAAGTTCTGCGAGTGTGATAACTTCAACTGTGATCGATCCAATGGCTTAATTTGTGGAGGTGAGTATGCCCCAGCCGTAGCTCCGTAGTGCAGGTCCTCTGGTGAGGTCGCCCGAGGGCAGGCCTTCCACTAGAGCTGCTCTTATCTGTGCTGCAGCGGCTTGGTTTTGACGTGTGAATAATTGCTGCCATGGCCCATTTCACCCTTGTTTTGAGAAATGTTTTTCTGTTGCAGGAAACGGTGTTTGCAGGTGTCGCGTGTGTGAATGCTTTCCCAATTACACTGGCAGTGCGTGCGACTGTTCCTTGGACACTGCTCCGTGTGTAGCATCAAATGGTCAGATCTGCAACGGCCGGGGCATCTGTGAGTGTGGGGCCTGTAAGTGTACAGATCCCAAGTTTCAAGGGCCAACCTGCGAGACGTGTCAGACCTGCCTTGGCGTCTGTGCAGAGCATAAGTAAGTACTGCCTGGCTGCTTCACGGAGTTAACTCACTGTGCTGACCCCAGTAGAGCCCAAGGAGAGGGCTAAGACATTACACTTCAAGGAGAATATTTGCTGCTTTTTATGTATCCCATTTTCTATGACCTAAAAATTCTTTTTTAAATCTATTTATTCTGTATACAGTGTTCTGTTTGCATGTTTGCTGCTTAAATTATTGTTGTGTTATCTTACATATTTAATGTGTGATATCGGTCCAGTTTTATGCTGTGGAGGTGTATGTAATGTATTAATGGGAAATTTATTTGTAATAAAAATCCAGCTGTTAGTATTGACTTGGAAAATGCATTTGGTTTACTTACATTTGTTACAGAGCTGAACTGCTAGTTTGTTCACTGAAGAATGTTGAATTGTTAATGTTTTTTATAAAATTTGTAAACAGTTTAGAATAGAGCATGGGCTGTTCTTGAACTTGAGGTCCTTCAGTCTCAGCCTCCCCATGCTCGACCACCATGGGCTCAGACTAGACTTACACATACCCCCTAGGTCTGCAGTTTGCTCGCTGGTAGTCTTGGGCATATGTGCTCGAGGTTTGTCACGGACACGTTGACGTCTTTACGAGAAGGATCCACTGTGCAGGCCTCACTGGCGTCTGTACAGCACCCATACCTGTGCTGTGGACGTCAGGTCTGAAGCCGACTAGGAAGTAAAGTTTGCTAATCAGATGTTGGGCAAACGCTCGATAAGGCCTGGTCTTACCAGGCCCCACAGGCACTGGCCTTTACTGAAGTTCTTACTCCTCCAGTGGAGGGCATGAGCTTGCCAGCAGCTTTGGTAACGAGAGGCTTCTTGGGTGATTTGCCTCCAGTGCACGTGGCCCAGGGTAGGTCTGGAGAACGCCCTACTTGTCCCCTTACTCTGTCTGCCTGCAGCTTCGCCAGCCAGGGTGGTACTTGGCCTTAGTGGCCGTGCCTGGCTGAGGGTGCTGGAGATGGGGCTGTCCTGTGGAGCACATTGTCGCTGTTCCTCTGCGCTTATGCTGCCCGTAGATCAGCAAGGCCGTTAGTTTAGCCTGTGCAGTGCTCTAAGCAGAGTCCGTCTTAATCCATGCTAAGTGTACCGATTTCTGTCTTAGAGAATGTGTTCAGTGCCGAGCCTTCAACAAAGGAGAAAAGAAAGACACGTGTGCACAGGAGTGCTCCCACTTCAACCTCACTAAGGTGGAAAGCAGGGACAAGCTGCCCCAGCCAGTGCAGGTCGATCCCGTGACCCACTGCAAGGAGAAGGACATTGATGACTGCTGGTTCTATTTCACCTACTCGGTGAATGGCAACAACGAGGCCATCGTGCATGTTGTGGAGACTCCAGGTAGGCAGAGGTTGGGAGATGCCTTCTTTCTGTGCTCTGACATCAGAAACAACCTGCAATAATCTGTCCATAGAAACAGCATTATTGATGATATTTAAGTCTGAGTTTGATTTAGCTTTAGGTATTGGGAGAGGTTTTCTTAAAGATGTTATTAATGTGAATTTGTTCAAATTCCCTAAAATTAAGCACATTTTACTTTTTTTCCTCTCATAGCCTTTGTAGATTCTTTGTCATTTTTTTAAAAGATATATTTAGTATGTTTACAGTGTTTTGTCTGTCTGTATGCCTGCTAGAAGAGGACACTAGACCTTACAGACGGTTGTGAGCCACCGTGTGGTTGCTGGGAATTAAGCTCAGGACCTCTGGAAGAGCAGCCAGTGCTCTTAACTGCTGAGCCATCTCTCCAGCCCTCTTTGTCATTCTTTATTATTTGTGTCTAGTTTTTTTTTCCTTAATGAATGTATTTTAGAACATATGGTGAGCATCTATTACAGGAAATTGTCCAACTTTTTAGTTTTTAAAAAAGAAATGTATTTATTGTGTGTGTCTGTGTAAAGCAGGTTGTCAGCCTCGTCACAGGCACCGTTACCCACTGAGCCATCTTGTGGTCTTTGCTGTGTTCTGCAGCTCTAGGCAGGAGCTCTGAATGCTGCAGGGTGTGCCTGTGTTTTCCCTTGTCCTAGCAGTCTTTGAACACAGGGTGCTTGTTCTTGTTTCTTTGATGTTTTACGTTTTCTGCACTGAGTGTCCCCAGGGTGTTGATATAGGTAGGGGCTTGCTGATTTCTGCAGTGGTCGTGACACTACTTTGACATCACACCAGAATGCAGATCAGTGTGAGGAAAAAAAATCCTTTTTAAAATATAGCGTGTGTGTGGTGGGAGCGGTTGGTGCCAGGCACCTTTCTTCATGCACATAAGGAATTTCTCCAGTTACCTCACTCTTTTTGTTTGGTTTTGGGACAGTCTTGCCTTACAGCTCTTGGCTGACCTGGAACTCATGTCGTAGACCAGGCTGACTTAGAGGTTGTGACAGTCTTACAGCCTCTGCTCTTTAGTGTGGCCTATACTGCCATGCCTGGCTGCTGACCATCTTTTGTGTGTTTGTTTGTTTGTTTGTTTATTTATTTATTTATTTATTTATTTTTTGGCCATTGCTTAGTACTTTATAATCCTGAAGATCACGTTCCTAATTACAATATAAGCTTTTCATTATTTCTGATGCTCTTAGGATTTTTTCAAATTTTCAATCTTTAGGGAAAGAAATATATTCTGTAACCCCCAAATAAATGGCCTACTGATTGTATTTCCTGCAGTTTTGTAAGCTCCCTGGTTAGAACCTAGTAGCTTTTGTTTGTTTGTTTGAGACAGGGTCTCATTATGTAGATCAGGCAGACCTCAAACTCAGAGGTTCTCTTGGGATTAAAGGTACCTGCTACATTATCTGGCCTAGAACCTAGCAGGTTTTAGACAGGTTTTGGGGTAGTGCGAGTTTCCAGTACTATTGATTCTGTAAGATCCCACCAAGCTCTAGTGGTCTTGTGAACTTTGTGTGTTCTCAGTCCTTGGATGCTCACATAACCTTCTCATTTGCAGACTGTCCGACCGGTCCTGACATCATCCCGATTGTAGCAGGTGTGGTTGCTGGGATTGTGCTCATTGGCCTGGCCTTACTGCTCATTTGGAAGCTTTTAATGATAATCCATGACAGAAGGGAATTTGCTAAATTTGAAAAGGAGAAAATGAATGCCAAGTGGGACACGGTAAGTTATGAAACATCTACTGGGAAGTAGGTTGGCTCATGAAATATATGTAACTTTACTCTGTGACTGACCTTTAAAGTCCAATTTAAATATTTCGTTCCCTAAAGCTCATTATTCAAAGAATTTGCATTTGCTGGAAACCAGAAGCCTCCTATTGCAGTAGACCATTTATGAGGATCCATATTCTGCATATATTGTGGCTGGTGTTTTTCTTTAATATGCTCTGCTCATTTGTCTACTGTAGGGTCTTAAATGATATCAACAGTGTCTCAGGCTACACTAAAGAAAGCCCCTCTCTCCATGACTTCGGGGGGCGGGACATAACCAAGTCAGCGGTTCTGAGACTAGAGTGATGGGAGGGCTGACCAGAAGGCGGGGTACCAGGGGCCTTCTTGGGATGAGTCCTGTATCAGGTGTGTTCGTGCATTTGGAAATACTTGGCTTGAACTCCATAAAACTTGCTTAATAGAAACACAGGCTCTGCCTGGCGTGTGCTGGTTTCAGTGCTTTCAGGATGGGGGTGGGGGTTGGCTAAGTGTGGGCCCTTGTGTATTCACATTTGACACAAGAGTTGATGTCTTCAATCAGCATTCTTAAATTGTAAATGCAATAGTCATGTGTCTTTTACTACAGTTAGGTTGTTTTTTTTTTTAAATTTAGAAATCTCAGAATTGAACTGGAATAGAAATAGGATTCCATTTTATGGTGTTTATACACTATACATACCAATTTTCTTTCTGATGAAATCACTAGAAACTGTTTCTTTCACTTTAGCAAGAAAATCCGATTTACAAGAGTCCTATAAATAATTTCAAGAATCCAAACTATGGACGTAAAGCTGGTCTCTGATTACCGTTCGTATTTCCTTTCTCTTTCTATCCTTGCATGTCAACTTCTGTCTTTTTTTACTGCACCCTGTGTGTTTCTCAGCACTAGCGCTGTTTTGTTTGGCTTTGTTTATATGGCTTCCTGTGGCTCTCTCGTATGTGAATTTAGTGCGTGGAAGGACTTTACAGACAATCGAGTGTGGAGCAGCCTTGTGTGGTGGGAGGAGGGACTGCTTCACACTCAGGCAGCCCCCAGCTCTGTCACCTCCCTGAGGCCGCTCTTCTCATGTGTCTGCAGAGGCAGTGGGACTGCTACCCTGTGTTAGAAGGTCGTGACATAAGGAAACACCTTCTGGGTTGAATAGTGAATTGAGTGTGAAATGAAAACAGCAAAACCATAGTATGGTGTTTGTGTTATTCACAATTACAACTCATATTGCCCACCCTAGAAAGATTCTGAGACTTTTCTAGTTTTTGATTATGTGGGTATTCTACTGAGAAGCAGAATTCTGTTGTGTGTTAGTTATTAAATGGTTCTGACTTTCAAGTTTAAAACTAAAAATTTTTGTTGCTTATTTTTGCTTGAGACAGGGTCTTAATATGTAGCCCTGGTTATCCCAAAACTTGCTGTGTAGACCAAGCAGGGCTGAACTCACTTGATCCACCTGTTTCTGCCTCTTTTAAAACTCTCCTTGGGCTGGAGAGATGGCTCACACTTGAGACCTCTGCTCTTCCAGGTCTGGAGTTCAATTCCCAACCACCACATGGTGGCTCCCAACTGTCTGTAGTGGGATCCGATGCCCTCTTCTCGCACAAAGTCGGACGTGCAAACAAAGTGCTCATATACATTCTTTAGGAGGACGTTACCCGCGCAGGGAGAAATAGCACCGCTGCAGTGACTACCGGTTAGTGAACCTCGCTGCACTGTGGGAGCTGCAGTTCCACCCGCAGCCCTGTAGTTACTCAGTCATGAATCAGTCAATAATGAAAACGGACTTGCAGAAAGCCCCAAATATGGGAATATTGTGTGTGTTTAAAAGACACAGGAAGTAGCAATAGTGCTAGAAATCATAACTTGCTGGATCTCTTTTGCTGCCAGGGTTCTATTTAAGGTCTAGTTTGTTGGTAGAAAGTTATTGTTGAGATCATGTATGTCTGAAAACGTGATGTGTTCCCTCGCTCTCACCTGGGACTTGGCAGGAGTAATCACTGCAGGGAAACTGACTCGCTAGTGCACTTACTGGGGTTTCATTTCTCTCCTTTGTGGGAACTATTAGGCATTAACAATTTCATCTAGTTACTTCTCACAGGAGAATTTTCCACTTGTTTGCCCTTTCTGTACATTCAATGGCACTTTGTGTAAATCATCAGTGGTTACTAGTTATACTTAATGTTTATACTCTTGACTTAATTTTGACTGAATATACCTTCTTCAACTAAAATAAGTGTTTGAAACAAGAAAGCAAGTGTTTCTTAAATTTTACTTATATATTATTGAAATGTAAGAAAATTTATGGCTATAGATTATCCTAAAATGATTTCTTAATAAAAAATTATTAGGAATTAATAAAAATTAATGAGTCAATAAGTCAGAAAAAAATATGCAAAAATATTTTTGTGATATGGGACCAAGGTTTCTCACAAATTAATTACACTGTTAGCAGACACTGTAATTATGCGAGCATATAAAACTGTCACATCGGGACACTGAAAAAAATGATCAGGTCTGTCCTCCGTCTCTGGTGTGGATTACAAGCCTCCCAGTTTGCACTGCACACCTCATATACCGTGACGTAAACACTGTAGCCACCGCTGTCAGCTGTTCCTCGTGGACAAAGAGGGACTCACTCCAGGGGTAGCCTACACACAGACATAAATACGCTTTGGCTTTGGGGCGGGGGCTGTACTCCGAGTGACTACTAATCGGATTACTGTAGCTCATCTCCATCTAAACTGATGTCTGACACACAGCGAGTTTAGTTTGATCTCTAACGTGCATGTTAGACTTTTGTTTGATTGGACTTTGAAATAATAAATATAAATGTGTGTACGGCAAAGCAAACTTCTCCAACGGTAAGTTTTTTTTCATATAAATTCTACTTTAGACTCTTTGATAATAGATATTGAACTTTTTTTTATATTTTGCTTTCTGTTTTGTTCCCTTATAATTCTTAAGCACTAAATACTAGACCGTGTTAAGTGCGTTAGCGCAGAGACAGCTAAATGGCAGCGTGAAAGCCTGGTGTGTTTGAAAACACAGTTCTAGGGTCACACCCCACACCCCGGTGGAAGCCGCGGCCGAGGCAGGATTGAGATTCTGAGCAGTGTTGTCAGTGTAAGAGGCGTTTGTTTGAGGGATCGTGTGGCACTTCTCTGTTGCTCTCATTAAATGCACCGACTGGAGCAGCTCAGTGGAAAAGACCTTTGCTGCAGGTCACAGTCACTGAGAAGTCACAGTAGGTGGAGCTCGGTCCAGTTGTATCCGAGTCACAAAGCAGTGATACATGCTGGGGCGCAGCTGACCTTCTCGTTTTATATGATATTCGAGCTCAGGAAATGATTCTGCCCACAGTGGGCATCTCACCTTAATTAACTTAAGATAAACCCCCACAGATACGGCCTGAACCCCATCTCCCACGTAAGTTTAGATTGACATTGATATCAACCATCTATTCTGGTTTGCATTCTGCTGCTTTGTATAGATTTCTGTTCGTTTTTCAATAATTCATTTGTAGTCATTTCCCCTTTGGATGCATTCCAAAACTTCTCATGTGAACCTCCCTTTCTGGTACTGGTCTCGTGTACATTTCTATTGTGAAGGCTGTCAGATCGCCTTTCTTCATATCTTCACATACCGTACTGTACTCCCCAAGGACAGATATGTGATTGTGTAATTATGATTGTTATTGTTCTGCTTAAAACACCACAGTCAGTATATATGTTCAATCTTGAGAAATGTTTGTGGCTTTGAATCACCTGATGAATCCGCAGTGGCCTTAGATTCAAGACTAGAACTGTGATCAGCATCACCCTTAGGCTATTGAAGAATGGTAATTAATATTCTAGGCATATTTTTGCACAGTACCGTACCGTGGGTGATACTGGCAAACATACCCAGAACACTAAATCAGTCAGTCCATAGAAGATCCCAGGAGCACAGTTCCTTCTCTGGGGACAAAGTCAGCCACCCCATTTTAGTATCAAGTACTCCTATGCATTAGGGTGTGTGAGTCAGGTCCAACTGCTTCTTTAAGCTGGGTACCAGACCTTCAGGGGGAGCCTCTGATGGCGGCTGTGCAGACCATTTGTGAGGCAGCACTCCAGGGATGATGGGAGTCGGCGCAACGTTCCAGTAGCCCGAGACTGCTGGGGCAAGGGTGTCCTCTCACCGCGCTGCTGGAAGTGGCTTAAGAAAACTGCAGCTTAATCTTGTTTTGGAACACTGTGATTTTTAGAGAGTAACTGGTGGTTTTTGTTTGTTTCAGGGTGAAAATCCTATTTACAAGAGTGCGGTGACAACTGTGGTCAATCCAAAGTATGAGGGAAAATGAGCCCTGCTCAGGCCGATTCCACAATGCCGAGCTCACAGCAGCATCGTCTTAGTCACGTAGGGTAGCTTTGGGGCTCCGTGGCCAGGGTTTGTTCACATGCAGGTTTGGGAAATGTACAATATGTATAATTTTTAATTTTTTTTATTATTTTGAAAATAATGTTATAATCCATGCCAGGGACTGACAGAAGACTTGAGAAAGGATCTTTATCCTTGTCAGCTAAGGTCACAGTGTGCCTTTCTAACCCTTCCTCTCCGATCATTGGAATCAGGGGCACTGCTGGGCGACGCAGGGCAGAGTTGAAGCAGCTGCGTCACCCACGTCTGCACCGCCACTGATTCAGCCCAGTGCTGCATCTGAAAGACACGTGTGCTGGCAGTTTCCAGTTAAATCACTTTGACACAGTTGTTTTACAAAGGCCATTGGGAAAATTCAGAGAGGTGGAAGGAAAAACTTAGCTTTAAAACCTGTGTGCCATTGCGAGTTACTTGATCCCGTAACTCTGACGCCTTCTCTTTATAAATCCAAGCTTGGATAAAAGTCCTGGGGACTCTTCAGCTAAGAAGTCCCTGACTTAGCACTAGTCACACAAAGGCCGTAACTTCCATAGCATTTGCTGAATGGGAACCTTTATGAGTTTATTTTACTTTACTGTTCTGTTTAATTCCTGGTGCTCTTTTTCACTTCTTCTAATCTTCTCATGTGTCTGTTTGCAGTTTGGGGTTAAGACTCTTTATCATTTTGTTTACTTGGCTTTCACTGCCTTCTTCGCGAACACTCTACGCTCTCCTGCTGCTTGCAGGGCTGCAGGGCCTGGGCCGTTCCAGCCGTTCCACCACTGCGCGCCTCCGAGCCTTCCCTGCCGCGCGCGCTCTCACCCTAGTCACAGCCTTGTTTTAAGTGCCTTTTAATTTTGACAATGCTATTAACTGAAGTTATTTATTAAAATAAAAAGGCCTAAAATACTTAAATGGTTTGTTTGGCTCCATATTTTTGTTAGTTTTGTGTAGTCTTCATGTAAGCTGAAGTGATTCACTTTAGACACGGGGAGCGGATGATAGAACAGACTGCAGTTCCTGTCCCCCTGAGATGGGAGCTGTTTCATTCTGTTTTGTCAACACCAGCTTAGACTGCTAGATGCTGGAGAGCTAACGTTCAGGAGAGGGGTGAGATTTTTGTTCTTAGGAAGAACTAGGGAAGTCTTACTTTCATTTGGTTTTAGTTATTTTTATGTAAAACTGTATTTCCATAAAAAACGCTTGTGTAAGGTTTAAAAGAACTTGGGTAGGCAAGGTAACGTAGTGGGGAAGAGGTCTTGCTCTGCAGGCTGCTGATCTGAGGTCAGGCCTTAGAGCTCATGCAAGGCTGAAGTAGAGACTGAACCACCTGCCCTCCTCCCACCCCCAATGCACACACGGTAATAATAATAAATTAAAAGATTTAAAGAGAAGTAAGTATTTCCTCCTTGGATATACAAGAGACGTCAGGACGATGTGAGAAAGGAGATGGTTAGAAGTTTCCCCATGGTCTGGTGCTTGCTGCCTAGGCTGATGACCTGAACTTGATTCTCGGGACCCACATGGTAGAAGCAGAGAGTGAAATTCTAAAAGCTCCTCCCTCACACTTGTGTGCACCCATGAATGCACTTCCCTCGAGCACACAACAAACATAAATGAAAAAAAAAAAAAAACTTAAAAATGCTTCTAACACTCTAGCCATTTATGCTAAGTGACACTCTTTTCATTTATTTAGATATGATTCCTAGTTTTGACTAAAACAATTTTGATGGTAGAATTTACATTCTTGCTAGTTTGTATGATCCATGAGAAAGGTCTTTATCTTGTTCATATCGTGCCCTGTTTTGCCTTAATGTATCCTGTGTTCTGCTGTTCACGCCCATGCTCAGTGTAGCTAATTTCCTTGTGCTTTTATATGATAAGTGTGACTGAGACGTCTTACCTCATACCCTAAGAATGAAGTTTGTTTTCTAGAGCAACCCCCTCAAAACACATGAAACAATGACTTGGTACATTGTGTATAACATCTTATAGGGGAAGAAAAAAGCAAAACCAAATCATTATTATAAGTATTACTTCATGAATTCCCTTGAGATAGACGCCTGGGTAAAACACAAGCACAGTTCACACTGCAGTGAGGCTGGCACCTGTGGGGTGGACTTGAACGAGGCTCTGGACTAGTCCCAGTGTGTGGCTAGGGTCTGGCTCAGAGCCTCCCCAGTACAATCCCTGCAGCGGCTCTGGTTCTTCATGTGCTTACCCATGCCACGTATCCTCTCAATCCAGAGGTGTCAGTGACATCTGGATACTTCTCTGCCTAGCAGTGCTGCGCTATAATGGTAATAACACAAACATCCTGCAGCTCATAGACCGAGTTCCATGTGTGAAGAGCTGAATGCCCCTTTTCTTGGAAGAATAGCTTTTCACTTTTGCCATAACAGCTGCTGTCGTGGCCGCTTTAAAGCGCGTGATGATGGTAGGGGCCGAGGCTACGGTTGTTGGTTGCCCAGTGTCCGGAGGGAGACCAGAGTTCTTGCTCTCAGGACCGTGGTGAAGGGGAGGGCACAAGAACGGCAGCCAAGGAAGTGCATTGAGAAGTAGAGAACAGCTCCCCGTGTCCAGAGGGGCCTCGGAATGGGTTCTCTGGTAGTGTTATAGAGGCCCTGAGCTCACTCTTCCTGTTCTTGGAAAGCCTGCTCGCTTTGAGCTGGTTCTGACTAATTCTGTCAGCAATCTAGACATTTGATTTTACTTGGGCCGCTAACGCTGAAGCTGACTGGAGGTGAGGGCTGCCTTCTCTGTAAACAGCTTCATGTTCGCAGCAATGAGCCACACATTGTTTTTCTTTGACCACATTTAAGTCAACTGAATACCAAAGGAGGCAGAAATGGATGCAACATGGGTGGGGGGAGGGATGTAGAAAATAGGGAAATGTCAGGACTGTTTTCTAATCAGTAGTTACTTTGTCAGTGAGTTAAACTCCTTGAAAGGCAGAGTTGGTTGGAATGAATAAAAATACAACTGCAATCTATAACAAAGTACACGATTCCCTTCAGATATAAAGCCATGGATGGAATAAAGGATAGAAAACCAAGAATGGCTTGTGCTGACACTAGATGAGGTGGGATCCAAGGGCAAAGCCAGGGGCACAGCATGCAGTGAAAAGCAGGCCGTTTCATCAAGGGGGTTTAACAACTGTAAATATATCCATCAAACAACAGAGCTCCCACACTTGAACACCAGCAATTGACAGGCATGCAAAGAGAAACGAAATACCTGCAGTAGCTCCTAGGAATGGACAGAACAGGTACGTAGGAGAGGAAACAGGCGCTAAGCAACGCTGGATCTTAGATTACAGCTCTGGTCAGCATGCATTCTTAGAAACTTAAAGTAACTGTCAAAACTGAGCAGATGACTGTTAGCTTGACGGGAGTAGTATGCAGATTTTGTCTGTACATCAAAACCTGTAGTGCTCCCTAACCATGTACATTTTTCCTTTTCCAATCGATTTCATTAGGGTTTCTATTGTTTCTATTGAAGAGACACCATGACCAGACAGCCCTTACAAAGGGAAACATTTAGTTGAGTGGCTTACGGTTTCAGAGGTTCAGTCCATTATCATCATGGCAGGACACGGCGGCAGGCAGGCAGGCATGGTGCTGGAGAAGGCGCTGAGAGTGGAGAAGGAGCTCCATCTTGATCCTGCAGGCAACAGAAAATAGCTTGAGCATAGAGGAGCCTCAAAGCCCACCTCCAACAGTGACACACTTCCTCCAGCAACGCCGCACCTCCTAATAATGCCACTCCCTATGAGCTTATGGGAGCAGTTACATTCAAACTACCACGTCAGTCATACTTCACCAAAGATGAAATGAAAAGGAAAAACTAAAACTAGGTTGTACTTATCAGGATGCTCTGAGGCCCTCTGGTCTTTGTCACTTAAAAAAAAAAAAGCTAGAATTAATTGGTTTATTATTGTTCACGAGTGGATGATGTGTGTGCATGTTCACGTGAGTCATGGCACACCTGTGGAGGTCAGAGGACAGCTTTATGGAGTTGTTTCTCTCCTACCTTATTGGATTGGGGGATTGGATTCGGGTTGCCAGGCTTGCATGGCAAGTTCTTTACTTGTTGAGCCATTGGGCTGTCCTGGCTCATAATTTTTCCGAAGAACTCCTTATGCTGGACGTGTGGATGATCATTCTCACATGTCAGTGCTCACCATGGCTGAGCCTTCCTCCACCGGTTCCTGTCATAACCGTCCTCAGATCCCTTAGGTCTTCAGAGATGGCCACCGGAGGACCCTGCTTCAGTTTCCAGCGCCCACAGGATGCCTCTCAAAACCCAGCAGTAACTCTAGTTCCAGGGAACCCAGTGCTCTCTTCTGACCTCTGTGGATACCAGGCATACATGTAGTGCATATGCATACATGCAGGCAAAACATAAATCTAAAATATTTTGAAGAAATAAAATCTTCCTTTAATTTTTTGATTCCTTTTCATATTACAGCTATTAAAAAAAAAACCCCGCAGATTATGCCCTAGACAATCAAACTGTTTCTCATTTAAATCCCACCCACATTTCCTGGTCATATGTTTCTACTAAGTGGGGCTGCTAAGCATAACAGACACAACCCGAAAATGAGCTTTTAAAAAGAAACAGAGAAGTACAACACTGTTTTTTTTTTTTTTTTTTTTTTTTTTGTGCTTTGTCAGTCGTTGAATATTGTCCCGGGTGGGGGGAGACGAGACAGCATCAGAAAGTACTGCCCTGTCCCAAACCCACCACAAACAGGAATTCCCCTACTACAGTGCACACATTTCATGAGGTCATATTTATGTGGCACACAAGTTTCCTTGCATCTGCAAAATAACAGGGACCGCGGCCCACAGAGCCAGGTGGATAACTGAGCTGAGCTGGTCTATATACGGAGGCGAAACAACCATAGGAACCCACCATAGCAACACCCTGCCCGCTGGCTTGTGCCCATCTGTTTTCCTAGCAGGAATTCCAAAGCTATGTCGTCACTCAGTTGGGTTTAGCCTTCATGACCCTTATGGCACCCTTGTGACAAAGTCTGTAATCTTTTCCCCACAGCCTCCTTGAATCTACCTTAGAAAAATGTCAAACGTGCCCTCTAGGAAGCTCATAAAATTAGACTCCTTAATGCTTCTATTTAACCCTCTACACCCTCTCAATAAAAGTATGCAGCCAACTCTTTCGAAAATGTCATAAATCCAACAGATTCTGTCGTGGTTCTATGAGCAACGGTGCAGGGAATCAGATTCCAGCTTCTGTCTTGAAGACCACCTGACTATCCACTCTGACCCAGGGACATTCAGTCCAGCAGGAAGCAGCTAGGCTCTGAGGTTGATGCTCAGAACCCTTTTACATATAGAGCTGGAGATGTTAGAGCATCCTCCCCCTCCCCTTAGCCTCTGTAAGCAGCCTCGGATCTAAAGCCTATGGTTCCATCTTACAGGTAACATACTATCAAAGCTCTACTCCAGTGCCCAAAGAGTGACCATGTAACATAGCTGGAGTCATGTGTGTCCCTTTCCCCTACCTGTCACAGCACAAGTTGTGTACTAGCCAAGGCTACTTCCCCATGATGCAAGACCTCCCCTTTCCCTTAGAAACTTCAAAGTTTGGTATATCTAGGTCTTGAGGTAGATTGATTTCCATTTTTCTGAGAAACCACCGTATTTATTTCCAAAGTGGCTGTACAAGTTTGTACTCCCTCCAGCAGTGGAAGAATATTCCCCTTACTCTACATCCTCTCCAGCATAAGTTGTCATCACCAGTGCTTTTGATCTTAGCCATTCTGGCAGGTGTAAGATGGAATCTCATAGTTGTTCTGATTTGCATTTCCCCATGACAAAGAATATTGGACAGTTCTTTAAGTGTATTTTGGCCATTTGAGATTCTTCTGCTGAAACTTTGTTTGGCCCTGT